GAGTGAGTGAGTGAGTGAGTGAGTGAGTGAGTGAGTGAGTGAATGAATGAGTGAGGAGGAGGAGGAGGAGGCGTCTGAGTAATAATAATTACTCACTGCGTTGAGCTCCCCATGTGTGTATCTATTCGCGTGGACCTACCTGTCCGCCGTAAGTGTCTAGGCGCAAGAGTTTTCGAATGTTACCCCAGTGCGACCCTACCTAGAAGTTGGAGCCCCTAGGAAAGCAGCATTAGTTGCTATGCTATGCAATGCTATGCTATGCTATGCCATGCCATGCTATGCTGCGGTATGCTATGCTATGCTATGCTACGCTATGCTATGCTATGCTATGCTAAGCTATGTTATGTCATGCCGCGCTGTGCTATGCCAAACTATGCTATGATATGCTATGTTATGCTATGCTATGCTATGCTATGCCATACCATGCTAATGCTATGCTGTGCTATGCTATGCTATGATATGCTATGCTATGCTATACTATGCTATGCTATGCTATGCTATGCTATGCTGCGCTATGTTATGATATAACAAGATATGCTATGATTGGCTATATTATACTATGCTATGCCATGCTAATGCAGCACTGCGCTATGTTAAGCTACGCGAAGCTAAGCTAAGCAAAGCTAAGCTAAGCTAACCCTCTAGGCAGAGCCTAGGTCGGGGGATGTAACTGGGGGAACCGCGGGGCGGATACTGGGGGAACCGCCAGGGGCGGTTTCCACCGCCCGGCCCCTTTAAGAAAGAGAGTACGAACCCTTCTAGGCAGAGCCTAATAGGGAATAAACGGGCTTGAGTATTTCTGGTCTGGGGGTGAATCTAAATGTGAATGAATGGGTTAGAGTGCGAATGAGTCTCAGTCGTGCGAGCGGGTCTCTGCGCATGAGCATGGGGCCCCCTGGGGCCTCCTGAAACCTCCTGGGGCTTCTGGGGCCTCCTGGAGCCTCTTGGGACCTCCTGGGGCCTCTTGGAGCTTCCTGTGGCCTCCTGGGGCCTTGTGTTGCCTCCTGGGGCCTCCTGGAGCCTCCTGGAGCCTCCTGAGGCCTCCTGGGGAGGATGCGTGCCCCAGGAGAGGCCCAATATGTAGAAACAAACGTAACACACTGCAGATTGGAGCCGCAGGAGAAGGGCAATCCTCAGGAACACACGTAAAACACCGAGGACTCGTGTCCCAGGGTAGACCCAATCGATAGGAACAGATGCAAAGAACTTAGGACTGGATGCAGAGGAGAATGGCCGTCGATAGAAACATACGTAACACACGACGGATTCGTGCCCCAAAGGATGCCCAATCTAAAGGAGCATACGTAAAACACATGGTATTTGAGCCACTCCTGTGGCCTTCCGAAGCCTTCTGCTCATGGGGCCTCTTGGGGCCTCCTGGTGCCTTCTGGGGCCTCCTGGTGTCCTGGCGCTTCCTGTGGTCTACTGGTGCCTCCTGTGGCCTCCTGGAGCATCCTGGAGCCTCCCGAGGCCTCCTGGAGCTTCCTGGGGCATCCTGAAGCTTCTTGGGGCGTTCTTTGGCGTCTTGAGCCTTCCTGTGGCCTCCTGATGCCTCCTGGGGCCTCCTGGGGCCTGCTGGAGCCTCCTGGGGCCTGCTGGAGCCTCCTGTGGCGTCCTGGGGGGATCTGTGCCCACGAGTCTGGCAAGCAAACTAATCGAGATGTCCTCCAACTCTGGCCCCCCTTGGGGGCAATAAGCGCCTCGCTCCAGACATCCTTAGACTCTGCTCTTGAAGCGGACGATACTGGGGCCCGAAACAGGCTAACCGATCGAGACATCCCCGCTATTTTGGCGCGAACGGAGGAGTGAGATACCCCTTGGCGACGCCCCTTTGGGGGTGCTGAAGCCCGCGCCTCGCTCGAGACATCCTCAGATTGTGCTACGCCATCACCACCATCATCATCATCATCATCATCATCATCATCATCATCATCATCATCATCATCATCATCAGCATCAGCATCATCATCATCATCATCATCATCATCATCATCACCATCATCATCATCGTCATCGTCATCGTCATCATCATCATCATCATCATCATCATCATCATTATCATCATCATCATCATCATCATCATCAGCATCATCAGCATCATCAGCATCATCATCATCATCAGCAGCAGCAGCAGTAGCATCAGCATCAGCATCGTCATCATCAGCAGCAGCAGCAGCATCAGCATCAGCATCAGCATCAGCATCAGCATCAGCGTCATCATCAACGACACCATCATCATCGTCATCATCATCATCATCACCATCATCATCATCATCATCATCATCATCATCATCATCATCATCATCATACTCATCAGCATCAGCAGCACCATCATCAGCAGCATCATCATCATGGCTCCCATCATCAGCATCATCTTACTCATCAGCAGCATCCTCATCTGCATCAGCATCACCATCATCATCAGCATCATCATCACCATCAGCATCACCACCACCGCCATCACCACAATATGTCACGGCATAACATCCAGATCATAACTTATCACAATGTAACATAACATAGCATGAACATACCATACTGGAACCTCCAGAGCTCGCCATATCATAACATGACATAACATACCATAACCTGTCATAACATATCAAACATAACATGGCATAGCATGCGGAGGAGGAGGAGGGCGGAGGTGTGAGGTGCTCCTTCTCGGCGCGGTCGGAGTAATAATAATTGCTCACTGCGTGGAGCTCCCCATGTTTGCATCGATTTGAGATGAACTTTCCGCCGTGCGTCCCTAGACGCAAGGGCTTTCGAATACAAACTGGCTTGGGGTACACACGAGTTTTCGCATGGTTGAGTGTGAGTGCCAGTTCGTCTAGGTACGAGAGAATCTGGGTGCGAGTGGGTCTGATAAAGCATCAGTCCGGGTACAAGTGAGTCGGAGTGAGGTATGTCTGAGTGTGGGTAAGTCTGGGTGTGCGTGGATCTGAGCATGAGTATAGTGAGTACCAGTCTGAGTCTGAATTGGTCAGAGTACGGGTGAGTCTGACTACGAGTGAATCTGAGGGTGGGTGGGTCTGAGGGTGATTGGTTTTTATTGTAGGTAAGTCTGACTATGAGTGAGTCTGAGTATGAGTACGGTGAGTACGAGCCTGAGTCTGAGTGGGTCTGAGTGCGAGTGGGTCTGACAACGAGCGAGTCTGAAGCTGGGTGGGTCTAAGCATGAGTGAGCCTGAATGTGCGCAAGTCTGGGTGCGAGTGAGTCTGAGTCAGAGTCTGAGTCTGATGAGTACGAGTCTGAGTATGGTGAGAATGGACACGGGTGAGTTTGAGCATAAGTGGGTCTGAGACATCCTCGCAAAATGTGCCCCTTGGGGTGCTGAAACCAGCGCATCACCAGAGAAATCCTCAGGATCTGCTCTGAACGCAGACGAGTCTGGCCAGCAAAACAAGCAAACCGCTCAAGACATTCTGCAATCTGGGCTCCCTGGGGTACGAAAGTCGGCGCTTCGCCCGAGGCATCCTCAAAATCTGATCCGAAAGCAGAGGATGTCGGGTGATGAGAAGGGCAAACTGCTCGAGACATCCCCGTGATCTGGGCGCGATCGGAGGAGTGAGATAACCCCTGGCGGCTCCCCTTGGGCGAGCGAAAACTAGCGCCTCGCTCGAGAGTTCCTTAACACCTGCTCCGGCAACAGTGGATGTCGGGTGGTGAACCAGGCAAGCCGCTCGAGACATCCCCGAAACATTTTGGCGCGAACGGAGGAGTGAGATACCCCCTGGCGGCTCCTCCTTGGGGGTGCATAAACCTGCGCCTCGCTCGAGACATCCTCAGAATTTGCTCCGTCATCACCATCATTATCAGCATCGTCATTATCATCACCAGCATCATCATTCCATAACACGGCATACCATAGCGTAACGTAACATGGCATGACATAGCCTTGCATACATCTTCATTGCAGAACCTGACATTCCATTCCATATCATAACGTCTAATGCCGCACCATGACATAGCATGCCATATCGTACTACATCACATCATAACCTAGCATGGCATAACATAGCATAGCATAACATACTATATCATGGCAGAACATGAGGAGGAAGAGAGAGATGAGTATGAGGATGAGGATGAGGAAGAGGAAGAGGAGGAGGAGGAGGAGGAGGAGGAGGAGGAAGAGGGAGGGATGTGTGGTAGGAGTTGGCGCGGGCGGAGTAATATTTGTTCACTGCGTGGAGTTCTCCATCTGTGCATCTATTCGCATGGACCTGTCCGCCGTGAGTGTCTAAGCGCAAGAGCTTTCGAACATAAACGGGCTTGGGTAGTGACGGTCTGGGAATGAATCTAAGTGTGGATGAGTTGGAGTGTGAATGAGTCTCAGTAGTACGAGCGCGCCTCTGCGCATGAGCCTGGGGCCTCCTAGGGCCTCCTGAAACCTCCTGGGGCTGCCTGGGGCCTCCTGGAGCCCCTTGGGGCCTCCTGAGGCCTCGTGGGGCTTCCTGTGGCCTCCTGAGGCCTCCGGGGGCCTCGTGTGGCCTCCTGGAGCTTCCTGGAGCCTCCTTGTGTCTCCTGGGGAGGATTCGTGCCCCAGGAGGGGCCCAATAGATAGGAACAGACGTATATAAAACACTGTGGAGTGGAGCCGCAGGATAGTGGCAATCTATAGGAGCACACGTAAAACACCAAGGACTCGTGCACATAGGGGATGCCCGATCTATAGGACCATACGTAAAACACTTAGGATCTATAGGAGCATACGTAAACACATGGGATTGAAGCCACTCCTATGGCCTTCTGATGCCTCGCGCTCCTGGAGCCTCCTGGATCCTCTTGGGGCTTCTAGGGCCTCCTGGAGCCTCCTGGGGCCTCCTGTGGCCTCCTGTAGCATCCTACCTCCTGTGGCCTCCTGGGCCTGCTGGAGCCTCCTGTGGCATCCTGAGGAGGATCCGTGCCAACGAGTCTGGCCAGCAAACTAGGCAAATTGCTCGAGACATCTTCAGCGTCGCAGCGTCTCGCTCGAGACATCCTCCAAATCTGCTCCGAAAGCGAAGGATGCTGAGTTGGTGAACAAGCAAACCGCTTGAGACATTCCCGCTATCTGGGCGCGAACGGACGCCGTGAGATACCCTTGGCGCCCCCCCCCCTCCCTTTAGGAGTGCGAAAACCAGCACACCGCCAGAGACATCTTCAGAATCTGCTGTGAGCGCAGACGAGCTTGGTCCCGCAAACCGTTCGAGACATCCTCGCCATCTGGGCCAGCTGGGGTGCGACAAACAGCCCCTCGCATGAGACATCCTCCAAAGCTGCTCCGACAGCGGAGGGCGTTGAGCTGGTAAACAGGCAAACCGCTTGAGACATCCCCTCAATCTGGGCGCGAACTGGGGCTGTGAGATATCCCTGGCGGGGCCTTAGGAGTACGAAAACCGGCAATGCGCCGGATACATCCTCAGGATCTGCTCTGAGCGCAGACGAGTCTGGCCACCAACACAGGCAAACCGCTCGAGACATCCTTGCAATCTGACCCCCTTCTGGACATCATCACCATCACCAGCATCCTCCTCCTCCTCCTTCTCCTCCTCCACCTCCTCCTCCTCATCATCATCACCAGCAGCATCAGCGTCATCACCAGCAGCATCGCGCCAACCTTGCTGATGATGATGATCAGCATCCTTATCAGCATCAGCAGCAGTATTATCATCGTCATCATCATCATCAGCAGCATCATCATCATCATCGTAATCATCATCAGCATCACTCATCATCTGCATCATCGTCGTCATCATACTCTTATCGTGATCATTCGGCAACATCATACTCTGAGTGCATCATCAGACTCTGAGTAGGATAGGAAGAGAGGGAGGAGGGGAGGAGAAGGAATAGGAAAGAGGAGGAGGTCCGCGCGGTCAAAGTAATAACAACAACCCCGTCTTAAGACTCGGGGAGCACTAGCCCCATCCTTTGGATATGGTGAACAAGAAACCCATTCTTGGGATCTGAGGAATAGTCCCATCTCGGGATATGGGGAATGTGTTGCCTATCATTGGTGACGGGGGGTGCTCAAGACCAATTGCTGTTGTTTGCGTGTATATATGTATAGCATTTGCTTGTGGCCATCCAAGCCTGAACAGTTTGAAATAATTTAACACTGAATTAGCTGGTGGTTCTTCCATCCGGGGGCATTATAACAGCTTGAATACGTGGCAACGTTTCATCATGCATCCCATTCGATAAACATGTCCTCCGACCCTCTGAGGTGGAGTATGATACATGATGGACGGCTGGAGTAGGAGGAGGAGGAGGAGGCGAAAGGAGGAGATAGAAGAAGGAGGAGGAGGAGAATGGGGAGGTGAAAGTAGGGAAGGGCGGAGGGATACTGATTATGAGCATCAGGAGGAGGAGGAGCAGGAGGAGGATGAAAAGGAGTAAGAGCAGAAGCTGGAAGAAGAGGAATGAGGAGGAGGAGGATAAGGACATGCGTGTACCATCCGCGTCCCTGCCACCTCCACCGTGTCTGGGATGCCGGGCGGAGCATTCCACATCCGAGGGCAACGAGTTTTTTTTTGTTTTCGGTCTACCTGCTCCAGCTAGCAGGCACATCCTCCTGGTACTCGCCGCCGCCGATCCCTTCGACGAGCTCGGTGTACTACGGACTGCGATGGACGTGGCCGTGTCCGAGAAGATCGGGAACTTCTACGACCTCAGCGACGAGAGGCGGCACGTAAAGATCCTGTTGGAGGAGCGCACCTCGCTGCTTCGAGGGAGCTTGTCCTTGGTGAGTCGTTGCTGCCGTCCCCTCTGCCGCTTTTGTCAAACAGTGGCGAAGCGTTCTAGCTCGCCTACAGGCCTACCAAAGAATGTTCCAAGAACCTTTTAAGGTCTGTACGAAATGTTCTTCGAACATTTCTGGCCGAGACTGTCTTGTTTTAACATCTCGTGTTTGTGTTCTGAGGGCATTGACTTCGCTCTTAGCACATTTTTGGGTTTTAAGAACATCTCGTGGTAGGCCTAGGGAACTGCCTGGACGGTCGGTCCCTGCTCAATTTTGAGCTCACTCTCTCCTGATCCCTGGCGCGCGAGTCTCGAAGAAGAACAGAAACGCCATAAACATCAACTTTTGGCGCTCCGTGCGGACTTCTTGGATCCGCGCTGGGCCCCCCTCCCTGGCGCGCGGAGGCCCCGCCCCCCCGGCGGCGCCTCCGGCGCCGCCCCGGGCGCGCTCCGCGCGCCAGGGAGGGGGGCCCAGCGCGGATCCAAGAAGTCCGCGCGGAGCGCCAAAAGTTGATGTTTATGGCGTTGTTCTTTCTTGTAGGGTCAGTGAGCACCCCGATCGCTGAGGTGTTCGAAAATGGACCAGGGGTCCCTTGCCGAACGCAGCCCTCCAGCCTTGCGCGCCGCAGGCCGCCAGAAGCCGCGGAAGACCGCCAGAAGACCGCCAGAAGACCGCCGGAGACGGCCCGAAGACGGCCCGAGGCCGACGGGCAACAATCAGGAGGGGAACAAACACACAGGCACGATTACTCTTCGACTCCCAGGAAGATGGGGAACATCTGGGAAGCGGGGGGGGGAAGACAGACACCCAGAAGATGTGGGAAGATGGGGGGGATCCGGCTCTTCTTGTGTGCTTGTATTTGTGCGTCCCAGGGCCCCTTCCAACAGGGGGCCCCTGCTCGAGCACGTCGCAGTCGCGCCTCTTGACGAAGGATTGCACGAAGGGTTTTTTTGCAATCCTTCGAAGGGTTTTTTTGCAATCCTTCGTTTTTTTGCAATCCTTCGACGAAGGATTGCACGAAGGTTTTTTTGCAATCCTTCGCAGTCGCGCCTCTCGGCGCTGCCTCGTGGGAGAGGCCGGCCGCTCCGGCCGCGCCAGGGGGGGGGGATCCCAGGCCAGCCCTCGTCGCACGACGGGCTCTCGGAGAGCAGGCTCCGGGCCTCCAGCGCGCGAGGGGTGAGCCTCCTCCCCCTCCTGCTCCTCCTGCTCCTCCTCCTCCTCTTCCTGCTCCTCCTCCTCCTCCTCCTCCACCTCCTCCTCCTCCACCTCGATTCTCCTGCTCGATCCTCCTCCTCCTCCTCCTCCTCCTCCTCCTCCTCTCCTCCTCCTCCTCCTCTCCTCCGCCTCCTCCTCCTCCTCCTCCTCTACCTCGATTCTCCTGCTCGATCATCCTCCTCCTGCTCCCCTCCTCCTCCTCCTCATCCTCGATCCTCCTCCTCCTCCTCTCTCATCATCATCATCCTCCTCCTCTCCTTCTCCTCCTCCTCCTCCTCCTCCTCCTCCTCTCGATCCTCCTCCTCCTCCTCCTCCTCCTCCTCGATCCTCGATCCTCGATCCTCCTCCTCCTCCTCCTCCTCCTCCTCCTCCTCCTCCTCCTCCTCCTCGATGCTCCTCCTCTTCCTCCTCCTCGATCCTCGTCAGGCCCCCGATCGCGGCCTTCCCGGAGCTGTCTACAGGGAGGTTGCCAGCGGCGCCAGAGGAACCCCCGAACTGGCGCCCTCGCGCGGGGGGTCCTCGCAGCAGCGGCTCCGTTGTTGTCTTCGTCGGTGCGGGGCTCGCTTGAAGATGGATCCGACGGCACGACCAAGTTGCAACTTCGTGGAAGACCGCGACCCGAGCCCCAGGCCCAGCCTGTTCTGCGGCATCTTTCAAGCCGGGCCGATCTGTGATGGCCCCGGTGCCCGAGGCCGTTCGAAAACGCCCGAGCGAGTGAGCTAGCATGGCCATGCATCCAGAGGGACGCGTGGGCAAAACAAACCGCAGGAACGCAAGCGGAGCCCGGCAAGCAGTGCGAGGGCTCGCCGGCCCGCGGCGAGCCCTGCGCTCCGCGGCGGCCTCGGCCCTGGCCGCTGGGGATCGGAGGGCGCCAGCCATGCACCGGGGCAGGCCCCGGGCCACGCTTCAGTGCACGCGCCTGCCTTTCGCGGGTCAGCTCGTGTGTGGTGTTCCTGGTCTGCTTGGCGGCCTTTCGAGTCGCGCAGCGGTCGAGGCCGAGTCGGGTGAAGCTTTGGGGTGGCGCTCCCTCCTCCTCCTCCTCCTCCTCCTCCTCCTCCTCCTCCTCCTCCTCCTCAGGAAAACAGAAGGAGGAGGAGGAGGAGGAGAGGAGGAGGAGGAGGAGGAGGATGAGGAGGAGGAGAGGAGGAGGAAGGAGGAGGAGGAGGAGGAGGAGGAGGAGGAGGAGGAGGGAGAGAGGAGGAGGAGGAAGAGGAGGAGGAGGAGGAGAGGAGGAGGAGGAGGAGGAGAAGGATCGGAGGAGGAGGAGGAGGAGGAGGAGGAGGAGGAGGAGGAGATCGAGGAGAAGGAGAGGAGGAGGAGGAGGAGAGGAGGAGGAGGAGGAGGAGGAGGAGGAGGAGCACCTGGGCAGACCCTGGCCGGGCCGATCCCGGGCCGAGGGTCCGTGCGTCGCTGCCCTCCCGGTTAAGTGAGGAGGGCGTACGCTTCAGTCGGGCATGTCCCGTACAGGAGGGATATTCGAGAATGGTCAAGAAAGTCGGGGGCGGCAAAGAGGGGGGGGATGACTAGGGGGGTGGGGTGGATTTCATGGCGGGGGCCATGATTTTTCCTCAGATTTCATAGCGCCTCTTTCTCATTTCATTACGTCCACTGGCCCCCCCTTGGGCCGTGCACATGCCGCCGGCAATGATTTGCCCCCCCCTCTTGGACACCCCCCTCTTGGCCGCCCCCGAGAAATAGTCTGGGAACGATTTCTAGTGATCGTTTGACTGTTTTCGATTTTGTTCGCGGAATTGTTTGAAAGTGCTTCTTCCAAAGCCCGCCTGTCGGAAGACATGCCCGAACTGAGCGTACACACGGATCCCGGCCCAGGGGGGGCCTGTCTAAGATCGGTGCAGGTGTATACGGTCGGGGACGTTTGGATTGCTTTTTCCCGGAAAGGGCGCAGGCCCAGGGTTTTCTTTTAGTGTGGTAAACCTGTCCCAGGTGCCTCAACTGAGGTGGGCCGGCGGATTCTTTCCTTCCCTGATAAATATCGAGGTCGATGTGGGCCGACGGATAAAAAATTGAAGATGTCTCAGGCGAAACGCTCGTTTTTGAAATCCCGATCGATAAATCATAGGGTGCGGGCCACTCTTTCGTGTGTTGAGGTGTCATGAAAACGTTTCCATGCATGCGGTTCTATATCCCTTTCCGGGTTCGTGGGTCCATCATGTTGAGTAGTTTGTCGTTCCGCCAGTTCTGGCCCACCACGCTTCGGCGCGGGCCCCGTGGAGCGGAGCGACACGCCACCCGCTCGCACGGCACAGCGTGCCGCCGGGGCCGCCGCAGAGACGCGATGAGCAGACGTTCCCGACCGTACACCTACAGACGGATCGTGGCCTGGCCGATTCTGGGCCCAGGATCGGTGTGTATATGATCCAGGGTTGCCCCCCGCCAAGCCCCCAAATGCACGTGGGATCGATCCCCCCCTCGCTGGATGAGAACGCCCGTGAGCCTCGCGAAGGCCTCGCGCGGATGGAATCGCTCTCCCCCCCTGTGGTAGCGGCCCTGTGGGCATGGTGATGTGGAGAGTGCCGGTGACCCCCCTCCCCCCGTGGGTGTGAGGTGGTCCGTCGTCGTCGTCGTCGTCGTCGTCGTCGTCGTCGTCGTCGTCGCCGTCGTCGTCGTCGTCGTCGTCGTCGTCGTCGTCGTCGTCGTCGTCGTCGTCGTCGTCGTCGTCGTCTTCCGCCGTCGTCGTCGTCGTCGTCGTCGTCGTCGTCGTCGTCGTCGTCGTCTTCCGTCGTCGTCGTCGTCGTCTTCCGTCGTTGTCGTCGTCGTCGTCGTCGTCGTCGTCGTCGTCGTCATCTTCCGTCGTCGTCGTCGTCGTCGTCGTCGTCGTCGTCGTCGCTTCCGTCGTCGTCGTCGTCGTCGTCGTCGTCATCTTCCGTCGTCGTCGTCGTCGTCGTCGTCTTCCGTCGGCGTCGTCGTCGTCGTCGTCGTCGTCGTCGTCTTCCGTCGGCGTCGTCGTCGTCGTCGTCGTCGTCGTCGTCGTCGTCGTCGTTCGTCGTCGTCGTCGTCGTTGTCGTCGTCGGCGGCGCCGTCGTCGTCGGGCGTTTGGGCGGGATGGCACGGGAGCGTCTGCGGGGCGCCGCCGGCGCTCGCGCTGCCCGCGGACCGCCTGGGCGAGGCGCCTCGGGCACGAGCCGGGCGCGGCGCGGCGGGCGCTTGGCCGCCTGCAGGGGCTGCTGCAGCGTGCCGCGGCCGGTGGCAGCGTGCCGAGGCCGCGGCGGAGGCCCGCCGTCGCGAAGCCACAGGCCTGCGCTGGCGGCCAGGCCCACTGGCGGCCCACATGCGCCGCCGGAGGACCGCCTGCGCCGCGGCGTTGTCGTGGCGCGCGCGCAGCGCCGCCCCGCGGCCTCGGAGCCGGGCGCCGCCGCGCAGGGGCGCGGGAGCTACGCGTCGGAGGTCTGCGTGCCCGCCGCGGGTGGCCGGGAGCCGACGGGGGGTGCGCTGGGTGCCCCCCGCCCCAGGCCTGTCGCCGTGCGGGCGTGCGGCGTGCGCTGCTCGCGCGGTTGCCGCGGCGTTCTCGGGCGAGCCGGCTCCGTGCCGTGGCTGCGGAGGCCTCGGGGCCGCGTGCCCCTCCAAGGGTCGGGTCGGGCGAAAGGGGGGGATTGGGAAAGGGGGTGTTACGAAATTTGCGGCGTGCAGCTGGTTTCGGCCTCACCGAGGGGCCACTTCCTCGATACATGGGCGCCTCCCGGCGCCGGGAGGCGCCGGGAAAATCAGCTCCGTGAGCTGCTTCTCAACCCCCCCCTTTGCTATCCCCCCCTTTCGCCCGACCCGAAAGGGGCACGGCGGCACGGGTCCTGCTGGGGCAGGGCATCCACGTGCGGGAGCTGGAGGTCTCGGCCTCCTCGGGGACGGGCGCCGCCTGGGACGTCGGGCCGGGCTGGGCTTCTTCGCGTGGGGGCCGGAGGTCTCGCTCTCGTCGGAAGCAGGGGCCGAGGAGTCGGAGGACGGCTCTGCGGGGCTGGAGGGTGGTCAGGCCGAGCCGGTGCTGGAGGAGCCCCGGGGGGCGGAGGAGAGCAGCACCGACGAGGGGTCGGAAGCGGACATCATACTGTCGAGGGCAGCGTCGGCGAGGAGGTGGAGGATCCAGCCCGCCGAGGTCGGAACGGGACGCCGAGGCCGCGCCGCCGCGAACGCAGGCGTGCGCCCGACGGATGCCTCTACGACGGGGCGGCGTTCGTGGAGCGCTTCGGGATGCGCCTCGGCCGCCACGTGTGGGCGGAGTGCGCCGCCGAGGGCGGAGGCGCTCCTGGGCCTGGTTGCGTTCGAGCAGGTCGGCAGGCTCTTCGAGGTGGGCTTCACGGCGGAGGAAGCGGTCCAGGGGCTGGGCTGGGCGAGGGGCCACGGGAGCGCCGCGGGGCAGGCGGAGAAGGGGGACCTCGGCTGAGGCGCGGCCGCGAGGCGGCACCGCCAGGGGGTCCGACACCTGCGCGGGCAGATTGAACGCTGGGCGTCCGCGCGCGCTGCGCGTGGGGCGCTCGCGCGGCTAGACCCGCGCACCATCGGGAACGTCGTCGTCGTCGTCGGCGTCGGCGTCGTCGTCGT